TCGACCCGATACCCGTCGTCTTGGCGTGGGTTTGGCTGAAGCTGAGCCCACTCCATCGGGGGAGGGGCTATCCGAGCAATCTTCCTTAGGCGGTTCGGCTGTAATTGGAGCAGTTAGACCTTTCGTCTCTTTGGAGACTTTGTGGATCTTGCGCATAGCCTTGAGGCTAAGGGATCCGGAGGAGAGGGCTTCCTCGAACTTGGCTTGATCAAACTCTACCACGAGAGTTTTGACGGTTGTTCCAGTGAGATGAACATCGGATTGCACCACCACTTCTTCGTCAGAGAAGCATCTCCCCAGCAGAGTCGCCATCTTTTGTTTGTGGAAAAATTTGCAGTAAAAGAAATAAAAAAAAATTGATTTGTATTTCTTTAATCTCAGTTACAATTGGATTTCCTGATTACAAAAGAGAAGAGAATGATCTGGATTCTCTCCTTTGTTTAATTCTGGGTTCTTCACGGTGGCGATGAGATGCCTCCCTCGATTGTTCGCGTCGAGTTTGCTTCTCGTTGACGATCCGAATATCTATACTTCACTGGAACAACTGTCTTGGCCGGTTGATAACTCTTGTCAAACTCTGGACGAGTTGATAACTCTGAATGAGTTGGAAACTCTTGAAAAAGAGTTGATTTGAACCGAGAATCGGTTCTCAAGCCAAGGCCGAAGGCTTCAAGGAATGCTCCAAAGGATGAATGTCGATCTCTCCCTTTGCTGCCAAGAAGTTCTAACCGACCGTCCGAACCCCTAAACTAAATTGATTTTCAGTTATTTATAGGGGATTAAGGGGTGTAACCACCTCCTTAATTCGCTCATAAGTGGGGCTAATGGGATGTAACCGCCCCCTTAAATCACTCCTGAGTGGAGTTGTGATCCCCTCAGATCGTGAGAAACGGTTTTGAAACCGTTCAGCTCGTATTTGAACAAGTCAAACGCAAAATCCGTGTTCTGACGTGAATTCTGTATTCAAACGCAGCGTCTGGAAGCTCATTTGCAGCGTCTGAAAGCTGCGTTTATAGCACTTGGAAGCTGCGTTGGCATCTTGTTGGAAGCTGCATTTGGCAGCTTGGAAGCTGCGTTTGGCAGCAGATGGAAGCTGCGTTGGCAGGATTTAAGAGTTGCGTTTGGCAGCGGATAGAAGCTGCGTTGGCAGCTTTGGAGGCTGCGCTTGAGCTGCGTTTGCAGCGATTTGGAAGCTGCATTGGCAGCGTTGGAAGCTGTGTCTGAGCTGCGTTTGTAGCAATTTGGAAGCTGCGTTGGCAGCGTTAGAAGCTGCGTCTGAGCTGCGGTGCGTCTTGATGCTGGTATGCGGGGAGGACTTCCGCGTTTTAATTTGAAGAGACCGTCGATTTGTAGTCTCTTTCTGTCAAAGCGTTGCAAAGATCGTCTTTTTGTAATCTTTGCTTTACCTCTTTGATATGTGAGAGTTGTCAGATTGTAACTCCCGATGTTGATTGTGAAGGCTGTTGATTGGAGTTTTTCATCGGTTGTCGTGAAGGTCGTCAGATTGTAACCTTCAGCGATCTACGTGAAAGTCTTGTCGTTAGATTGTAACTTCCATCATCGGTGTTTGATGGGGAATCAGCTATCTATTGTGATTTTTAGATAGCCTACAGAACCCCCTCCAAAGTTTTCAAAAGTTTACGGTTGACTGGCACGAATTTTCGAAATACTTTGGATCTCAACTCTGATCTTGGAGCTTTTGATTCCTTGTCATAAAGAGTTGTTCTTTTCACCCGCTTCAAAAGCATCTTGGTTAAAGGGATTTTTCACGCATGACATGTGTGATGATGAGCTTCAAATAGAAACTGTAGCTACAGTACAAGCTACTCATGAGCAGAAGCTATCAAACGTCACGTCACGGCTCACCTCCATTAAGCTGATAGGCCTGCAAATATGCATAGGATTTTTGGCAAACCCTCTGCCATAAACAAATTTGATAAGCCTTTACCGAGTACCGTTTGAGTCGGGCTAGCATGTGGATTATCTAAGTCCGTTCCACATGTAATGTTGTGCTAAGAGAATGAACCCTCTTAGACTTGATGTTATGATTTTGAATACATAGACTTTATCATTTTTACGGAAAAAGACTAACTGGCAACGCGTATTAGGCGTAGGCTTATCCCTACTTAGGATTTGGGATAAAGTTCCCCATGCGTGTAAGGCATGAAATTTGGCGTTATTAATAACAACCTGCTACGATGTTGAATACGTAGACTTTTGTCCTTTTTTACG